GAAGCCAATCAACCGAGACATAACATGTCCAAACACGATGTAATACAAGCTTTTAACGTGTGTGTGGAGGAAAAACTCTTCTTTTACAAACACTATGTTCATTGGCTGCCTTTTAACGCAATTAAGGTTGAACTCTTGGCGACTCAATGGGTCGTTATGTCTCCCCACGCCAAGAGATCCATTTAATGGTGGAATAAAAAGCAATTTTTCATTCATTGGATATCATGTTTATGCCTTCCATAGAACGGAGCCAATAGTGCATCAAATAATTGCGTAAAGTCTTTTTTCTCTCTTTCTTTTCATGTAGCCTCCTTTTCTTTCTCTCATTTCAAAGAAATACTGATTTTCTCCTTCGAATAATACGTGCAATATTCATTACAAACTTTTTTGAAACTCTAGCATCAAGATTAATAATTAAATGTCGTCTGGGCTTTGGGACAGAAAAATAACTTAAATATTTTAAAAGTTATTAAATTATTTAAAAAATCGCCAAGTTGGCGAAATTTTTTTACCTTGATCAAATTAACGAAATTAATGAAACAATCGTAAATTTTTGTGAATTTTTATGAGCCCAAATAATGCAACGTTGGAGTAATATTTAAAATATTAAAAATTATATTAGCGTATTCTACCATTTTCAGAATCAGCATAGAGGGCGCTGCTTAGAGATATTCTGAACTGTTAGGAGAAGTTTTGTCTAACTGCTAGCAGCACTTATGTAAGCGTCGTTGAACAGCCGACCCAATGTTATGGGTTTACGACTATTCATGTTCAACTCCGTAACCTTGTCATTTTGAACCCAATCCAGAAGACAAGGGAACTCCTGGATCGAGTAGTGGAGAGAAATGTGCCTTCGTGGAGGACTGTTTGATGGAGCTAACCCGCATTTGCGTTACATGGAGAGAAAGAAAACGAGAACCTCCCACGGTTAGTCTGTCGGCAAGGGGACTCTAACTCATGATCCGTCTACCACTGAGGATATTTCTTGTCAGCACTGTGGTCGGTGCATGCCGGATGTGGAATTCGACTCCGGTTCGCCTCATTGGAAGGCGAAAGTTCTATCCCCTCAGCCATCGCGGCTCGTAATATTATATAATATTATACTCGCGTTTGTATAAAGTGCATAGATTATTTGTAAATTTATACAATTTTACTTCAAAGTAGTTCCTAATAAGGTCTCTTTAAAAAGGGACAGGAGCAAAATCAAAGCTTGACGACTATTCATTTCAACATCAAATCTACTAATAAATACATTGACCTAACTTGCTATTAACATGGGTAGAAAAATTTCATGATCTTATAAAACCTTAGTTATCAAGTATGGTAAAAATCACGCAATTTAATTTCAAGATAATCTAGATCATTGGTTCCTAAAAATGTTCCGCGGAACCCTGGTGTTCCAGTGAAGAGTTAAAGAACTCCGAGAACTAGAAACCTTTTTTTTTCTTAACGGCGATGATTATTTAACAGCAAATGTGTTTAGACTCAATCAAAAGTTCAACTTAAACAATATTTCAGTTCTTTTTAAAACTTTTCTTTTGTGTTTGCATAGTATTTTTTGTCTGTTCACGGTTTCGAAACGGAACTCTAGGTCGAATCTTTTGTAACTCTCGAACCATTTGTACTAGGATTCTGAAATTTGGACCCAGTGCAAATAGAAAAACAAATCCAAACATTTAAAAATATATTTTTTTTTTCTAACAACAATTTATTGAATACATTATGAAAAAATATGCATTGATACAGAGTTACATAAGTATATTTAATCGAACTTTTTAATACAATATACCTAAATACGATAATAAAGATCTATTTTCTCTCTCATATACACTAAAAACAAATTCAGAATTAGACTCTCTATCGCTCCAAATCGGCAAATTCAACTGCTTGATACAAAAAGTAGTTTTAAAACTATCGCTGATCAATAATGAAAAAAAGGAAGAAAACAATAAATATTTTCAACATTCAGTGAAATTTATATCGGGAGCTCTTCGTTCCTCAGAAAAATGGTAGTTGATCATTCTTAAGAAGTTATTTATATCAACTTCAAAATTGCTATCGAAATTACATGATTTTTCGCAAATTATTTTAATTTTAGTCAGTGTCATTTTCCAATGAAAATGCCACTTCTGTTGGCGTCATAAAAAGACGAATCCATGAATGAAATTTAGATTTATAAAATAATCCCAACTGATAATTATGTGTTAAAACAAATTTGGCAAATATGAGTGATAGAGCAATGGTAGCTCAGGGGATAGAACGTTCGCCTCCCAATGAAGTGACCAGGGTTCGATCCCAGAGATAGCGGGTCGATTCGAATTCCGCATCCGGCTCGCACCGACCACAGTGCTGACGTTACATATCCTCAGTGGTAGACGGATCATGAGTTAGAGTCCCCTTGCCGTCAGGCTAACCATGGGAGGTTTTCGGGGGTTTTCCTCTCCATGTAACGCAAATGCGGGTTAGCTCCATTAAAAAGTCTTCCACGAAGGCACATTTCTCCCCAATACTCGATCCAGGAGTTCCCTTGTCTTCTGGATTGGGTTCAAAATGACAAGGTTACGGGGTTGAACATGAGTAGACGTAAATCCATAAAATTGGGTCGGCTGTTCAACGACGGTTATAAAATAAAATAAAAACACGAGTATAGCAGTTAGACAAAACTTGTCCTAACAGTCCGGAATATCTTTAATTTATTTTTTGCTAAAAATCATTTTGAGACAAAATTCTGTTCGACAAAGTTATCTGGTCCAAGAAGGAAAAAAAAGTGCGCACTTCTGACCTTTTTTTTAAAAAATCTTTAAGAGCATTTGTGACCCATATATTAAGATTTGAGGAATTTCCTGTTCTCAAAGATTTTGGAAGTTTTTGTAGAGAACGATTAAAATTCGAGAATTGTCTTCAAGACTTGAGGACGTCTGGTCATCTTACTATAGGGTAAACATGGGGTGTGCCGACAAGGTATTGCCCTCGGCGGAAAATTTATTTTAATTCTCGCCTTTAAAATTAATTTTAATATCTATATCTATATGAATAAGTGTCAAGACATCTATATGAAAACGCATTCAATATTCAGATATTTTATGAAAAAAAATTAATTTTGAGACAACGATTACACTGTTTGACACCTTTATCATGCTACTATAAAAAAATTTTGCACTAAAAAAAGTATGATTCGCAGACTTATTTTTTAAACCCTTCCTTATAGTTAGCTAATTCATAAGAAAGCTAATTCATAACTTTGGAAAACAATTGCCCGTATTGACAAAAATGTCTATTTTATGAAAAATTAAAGTTAAATATTCATATATTTTTGTGGGAAAAAATATTTTTGAGACTACGATCACAATTGATACCTACTGGAAAATTTTTCACACTACTGTTAAATGAAATAAGATGTATTTTTTAAACGCTTCCTTATAGTTAGCTAATTCATAAGAAACACTATTAATTTTGGAAGACAATTGCCCGTTATTATGATAGTTAAGTCCAGCAAGGAACCACAAGTAGTTCGGAAGAGCATGGGGTGACTAATCGAATTCGAATGTGTACTTAACTTATCCTGTAAACAATGCGGGGGATGATGATTCAGTGACCAGATATCGGCCGCTGTAGCATTTGCCGATGAGATCGATCGGCTAATCTTCGCGGTGCATAACGAGGATGAATTTATTGGATAATCTACGGAATGGCAAATAGTGTACCTGACCATTAAGGGGAATAATTGTGTGGACAATGACCGTCAATAGCCATTCGCTTCTTGGAGATCCTTTCAATTTGTTGAGTGCTGAATCGTCTTGAATCCAAGTTTAATGAAGGGCAAAGATTGATACCGGATGTTTTGTAGTGTTCGAACTTAACATTAATTTTTAGAACCCTTTAAAAAGAAATGAAGTGAAAACAAAAACGGAGAATAGAGCACACGAATTTTTAAATGAGGAAAAAAAGGTCTATAAACATGACGAATCATTGTTCTTACAACTCTAACATCTCACAATGTACCGTTTATATCATTGATGTGCCTCTACACTGTAAAAAATTCAGTAAAATTTTAAGCAGTAATTTGTACAAAGTTTCTCATTATCCCAAAGTTTAGTTAAAAGAAAGGTCATTTTATTTTAGTTCCACCATAAACTGTGAAGTATGATCGAGAAATACTTTCATGGTGCAACTGACAGCACCAAAATTTAGTAAAAGACAAATTTTTGACGGTGACTAAACTGAACGATATTTGTTTACGACGCCCTGTTTTCTTTACAATTCGGTCTGGGTGTATTGGGACGACTAATGCATGTTGTTTCAAGATTCCACTTATTTAGGTAAATGCCTTAGTTGCACAAATTAAAGTTCATTTCTTTTATGTTGCCGTTTTAAATTTGTTTGGTGGAATAAAAGGGTTAGACGTATGTCATAAAAGGACTAATTTAAGCAAAATAGTTTTATTAAGTCAAATAGCAACCTTGGCTTGCATTTGAGAGCTTTAAAAATACCTAAAAAAGGAGCAACCCACCTCTGCTTTTATATAGTATAAAAAAAGAAAAGAATGAAAATAGGTAGTTTGCTTCCAGTTCTAGCAAAAAGTCCTCCACGAAGTCAAATTTCTTCCAATACTTGATACCCTTGTCTTCTGGATTGCATTTGAAATTACAAGACTACAGAGTTGGAACATTAGTAGTCGCAAACCCAAAAAATTTGGGTGGCTGTTCAATGATTGCTGTAAAATAAAATGAAATCTTGCCAAGGACACTAGTATTGATCTGAAATCCTGAATTATATTTAATCTTGTGAATAGTCCTCATGAATATTGCATCAAATTCCAAATTTCGGCCAATTTGTACCACGTCTTCATTTGGAGCCTACATTTCAGTTCAAGCAACCAATCCTTTATTAATTTACTACATTTTGCTTACAGTTAACGTAGATACGTTACAAAATGAAAAGACCAGGCGTAAGACATTTCTGTGACTTAATGCTAATCTATTAAAAAAGAAAAATCTTACCTCGGGACAGTTGCCGCAACACGACGAACTGCCGGGGAACATGCTTCCGCCCTCTTCTAACACTGGGCTCTCCACCTGTAACACAATAAATCGAACATTAAATTCCAAGATACAAATAAATAAAACAATAGATAATACAACAAACAAGTACAATCAGCTGAACTGAGCCCCTGGTTGCTCAGGGAATAGATGGCTGCTCAATACGAATTCCGCACGTTGCTTGCACTGACCACAGTGATATCTTGAGTGGTAGGCGAATTATGGGTTAGAGTACCGCAAATGCGGGTTAGTTCCATCAAAAAGACCACCACGATAGCAAATTTCTCTCACCACTTGATTCAGGAGTTCCCTCGTCCTCTAGACTAGGGTTCAAAATTACAAGGCTACGGAGTTGAACATCGACAGTCATTAACTTAGAATCGGGCCGACTTCTCAACGCTAGTTATAAAATAAAATATTAACCGAGCTATGGAGGCTCAGGGGATAGAGTACTCACTTCCCGATTAGGTATCCTAGGTTCGATTACCAGAGATTCTAATTCTGAATTCGGTTCAATCCTGGCATAGTAAATATTCTAAATTGGTCGTGATAGTCTCTCTATGCGGGTTAGTTACATTAGAAATTTCTTCAGAAAGAATCATGTATATTCCTGCGTAATCAAGTATACTGGATCAAGTATTTGCTCCAATACTAGATCCAGGAGTTCCCTTGACTTCTGGAATGGGTTTAAAATCACAAGCCCGAAGAGTTGAACATTGATAGTCATAAATCTTAAAATGGGTCGACTATTCAAAGCCAGTTATAAAATGCTATCAGCTCACTTGTGACAGACTTGCTAGTTTCTGTTACAAGCTATGTTCTACTGCTCTCCAAGTCAGACAAATTGCTAACAAAAAAACATTCTCATAATGAAGTGTTAATAAATGGGTAAACATGGAACTCCAGTACCCAATTCGTAAATCAGCTTCAAGTGCTCGTAAAACAGGTTTTGAGATTTATAATTAGAAATGTGTAATAGACAACTGCTTATCAAGAGTTATAATTATAAATTTTGTCAAACCACACATTAAGAAATAAATTCTCGAATCAAAACTATCTTCGACATATCTCCACAAGAGTAAAAAAAAAACCATCAAATAGAATGAATTAAAAAAAGAACACCATTGATTAATATATCCATTCGCATATTAAACTTTCAAGTCAATCAATACTACGTCACAATAAATTAAACCATTAAATAAACCGACACCATTCATTTCATCTCTCTGAGCAACAATAGCCTGCGAGAGAAAATTGATTCTAAATTGTTCCACAAACGGACATTGACAGACCGTTCCAATGGATTTGCAAACCATTCAAACAAATCACCCCCATCAGACAATTGAAATGAGACTTGGCATTAAGTTCCCATTAACATGCATATGGGTCACTCCATATAAAAATCTCCCATTGATCTCTCTCTAGTAACATGGCTCATACATCTGATAAAATACCCCAGTGGAAAAAGGGGGGTAAAGATTGAATGTAACCCCCCCTCTCAATCTGTCTCACCTCCATGGCGATTGATGAATAATCGTCCCCATCCAAAGTAATTTATATTTTCCATTTAGAAAAGGTTGTCCGCCATCTTGAGAAGTAATTAATCAATGACCGGTGACTGTCCCTCATTAAGTAAATGAGATTCCACCAAAAATGGTAACTTCTTGAGACAGGTTTACTTAAAAGGGATTATCCACCCGGACTTGTTATGAACCGGTATGAGTGATGGGCATGTTTAATGGAACTTGGTTAGCATCTATTGACCCGGGCTTTATCTGCAGTTAAGCATAAAATGGATTTTCAATAATTATGTAAGGGTATCTGGTAAACAAAACGGAAAATTTCCTGTTTAAGACAGATTACAAAAATGAACAAGTAAACATTTTTCTTCTGGTAGATTCACTGTAATTTCAAAATGATTGCAGGTGTTGATAACTTTGCTGCGAACTTTGAAGAAAAGATTTTAATACTTTTGCAGAAAGAGGAGCAGTTGTCCTCCTTCTAAAAGGTTAAAATAAACACATTGCTTTGACAACAGATCTAAATATTTGTTTTATTAATATATTATGGTAGGTAAAACTATCATTTTCCTCAAAATAAATACTGATAATGTACCCTAATGTTGTCAATTTTTAATCCTTTAAAAAAAAACGTGCTCTCAAAAACTGACTAGGCATAGATTGGTTAAGGCCTAAATATTTCATCTAACTTCAAAATATGTCCGCAAAATTTTCAGATTTCTTTTTTACACTTCTTGCGTCTTTTCAATTCACTAATGACAGAAAATTGTAGTTCAGCAACCTATTCAATAAGGCTGTCTTATTGTTCCTATGATAAGAACGACAGGAAAGAAAATGTTAGAGTAGAAGACCACTGAATCGTTCTGTAGACGTTAAACCCTACTTTGATAAAACACATTTTTAAGAGTAGCACTTTTATATCGAACAGATTTTTATTTTAAAACAGTCGTTAAACAGCCGACCCTATTTTTGGGTTTACGACTACCAATGTTCAACTCTGTAGTCTAGCAATTTTTAACCCAGTACAGAAGATAAGGGAACTCCTGGATCAAGAGTTGGGAGAAATTTGATTTTGAGGAGGACTTTTTGATAGAACTAGCCAGCATTTGCTTTACATCGAGAGGAAAACCACGAGAACCTTCCACGGTTAGCCTAACGGCAAGGGGACTCTCACCCATGATCCGTCTACCACTGAGGATATTTTACGTCAGCAATGTGGGCGGGGCAAGCCGGATGCGGAATTAGTATCTACCAATCTACGCTGGGATTCGAACCAGGTACAGTTCCTTGAAAGGCAAACGCTCTATACACTGAGTCATTACGGCTAGAAGATATTTTTAGTATTGTTTCCAGATAAGTACTTACGTTTACAGTATTTTTCATTGGAAATCAGCAGTGTGTTAGTAAAGTATTCCCATTGCGACCAGCTGTGAGGCAGTGTGTGGGTGTGTGGGGGGGGGTCCACAATGAGTCTCACATTGGTTTGGTCATCATCAGTATAAAATTGATATAAATCATAAAGGTATTGTTTTCTTATAAATATTTTTGTTTTCCTAATTTAAAGGGTAAAATGACCTGTACTGTTATTATGAAGTTTTTGATTTTGTTTGATTTCTAAATTAAGAGTTTTGGAGGATTGTTTTTTTATTATTTATTATTATTAGAATAATTTAATTCTACGCTGCATTTTAAGATAAAGTTATTTATATCGGTGTCTGGTCTTATTAACCGTTTTACAATTATTATTTTTTTTTGGTGCAAATAACATTAATATACTACACTAAGAACCATGGTTGAAGAGAGTCATTAAATGATTTAGAACTTAACTTTCAGCATCAGGCACGAAGTGATGAATGAAAAAATTGTATTTAAAACACGTCCTTCCGTTTTGGTAAGCAAATATATATTACAGATGTGAACACTCCAAATTTATTAGAACAATATATTTCTCATTTTAAATGCTATTTCAAAAAATGATTACTTAAAAAAGTGATTTATGTTCACTTTTAGTATCAAAAGGGAAATATTTGGACTTGGGAAGTGGAGGCACAAGTTTTCTTTTTAGTACTAATATTTTTAGTTGAATAATTTAAACTGTTTTATGACAAGAAACAGAAATTATCGCGAATCAATCAGGGGGCTTAGCCTACTAGTAACAAAATATTTCTTCCCTCTGTCAAAATTTGTCACATGACTAAACCATATTGGATTTCAATTTATTCTGAAGAATTAACCTTCACCTACCATGGGGTAGTGGAAACAACGTTTTTCTGAAGAAAGTTAGGATTTCGTATCTCGTATAAAATGTGTTACATAAAACGCAAATAGTATTATCAGGTAAACACTGTATTGGTAAACAAGAAACTAATAAAATTAAATCATAAAGTTGTGGTTTCAAATTTAGGACCACGTGAAATGACACCAAAATATTAGTTCACGTTGTCAAAATGCGTCACATAACTAATCATATTTGATTTTAATTTATCTTAAGGCATTAACTTTCACCTGTACTACAAGGCGAAAAGTATCAAAGATTTAATCAAACAATTCTCACCAAGTAGAGTCATAACTCGAGGCGATGACATCGAATTAATATAGCCCACGAGATATAAAATTTGATTAAATTTTCGGAAAGGATTAAGTTATAGATGGTTAAGTTTCAGGAGGTTCTATTTTGGGAAAATGCAAATCGAACTTCCGTCACTTCAATAAGCGGCTTAAGGGTGATACGCAATTTGTTATCGCGGTTTTGATAATGGCGGGCCGATCTTAAAATAGAAATTGTTAAAAATTTGAATTTTTTTAAAAAAATGAAGGTTTTAGACCATTTGTATCAACTTCTTCAAAACTATTTTGCCTAGATTAAAAAAATAAAAATAAATAAAAAATAAAAAAACACTTGATTGCCAAAAATTCAAAGATTTAATTTTATGGTAATTTGAAAAAACTGTGGTTTTTTATTCAAATTTTGTGCTGAAAATTCAAAAGTGCTATGTGAACAAATACTTCATTTTAAATTTATATTAAATCAAGAGAAAATATACACTTAAAGTAGTGTTGTTAAATACAAACCCAAATAAATGGGAATATTTAGCACCACAAAGCTTACGCTCATTGACACCTTTCGTGAACTATTTTAGCGTCTGAAAACTCCAATTTTGGAATCAGATTTCCATGTTGAGACTGGATTTTTAGTAAAGCGCAAAAGGATAAGAGTCTTTTTTGTTGCGGTCCAGAAAACCTCGATGATTCTATAAATATAATATTCCATTAAAAGATTATGTATATGTCAGGATCCTGATTCCTCTCCCACGCATTTGATTGACCCCTTACCTGAGGGTCAGAGGGTAAGGGACATGGGAAGTGTCATTCCCCTACATTGGGGGTGGAGCGAAGGACTTTTTCTTCTGAGAAAGAATATGTTTAGATCAGTATTAGTTTGAACGTAGAAGAGTTGAGTATTAGCAGAACTAGGAGAGCGAAGATATGAACTGGAAGGGAGCAGGAGAGCTCCGG